CTACCTCACTCCCAATCGATCTTCTATTCAATGCTATACAAGCCCCATGTTTCACACCTCTCGGCAGACCTTGACACCCCTTGGATCTTGATCTACGGCTCACCCAATCTCCCAGTAAATAAAAAAAGACCCCTTGACCTCAAGAGCCAATGAGATAGCTCCAGCATGATGAAGATGCGGTCACCCACAATGCTTGTGCCCTGCCAAGTTTCGTCTCTAGCTGGGCCAAGCCGGGCCCAACCGTTAATTTTCGGGGGGGGGGGGGGGGGGTACATTGCTTGGCAGCGCCTTGAATGAATCTCACCCTAGTCTGGCTACGTCACTGACGCTTTAACCGTCGTCCAGACGACATCATTGTACAGGGCAGAGCGATGTAGTCCATTGATGATTGCTGGCATTTCTCTCACCATAAAAAGCTGTCTTATCGCACTTTCACTTGCCCCCCTATCTCTGGCTCTAATCGTCATACCAATAGTGACCTACGTAAGTAACTAGTGCCATTCAAATTATTCTTGTTTTTATCCTTATTTCATATCCTTCACACTTTACCCTTCCGAGGTCTAGACCCAAGCCATCTTACCCCATACAGGCCACATCAGCAACACCAAATGATCCCCTACGGGCTAGACTTAAAAAAAGCTTGTTCATCAGCCAGACAGGGGCATCTCATTCTGGTGACCCCCTGTGCCGGTTTCCCGTCTACCGACACTCCCATCCAGACTCTCATTTGCCCATTTGCTCCCATTCGACGCCCAAACGAGGCTTCACATCGAATCTGCAAGCCACTATGCAAATCCTCTTTACTATCTTCTGTGTCAGATATTCCGATATCACAAACGCCAAAGCTGACGGCCTCTCCTAATTCGAGTTGCTAACACTGTCAACCTGAAACAACCATCTTTCAACACCGTTGATGCAAGTCCTCGCGTTTGAGGACTGAGATGAAATGAGGGCAAACATTATAGTACAATTGGTATAATATCCATGGATGTCTTCTATAATCAACATTGTGAGGCGAGCAAATACCATTCTGGAATTCGACAGCGGAAGTACACAAGGAAGGGTCAAGAAACACAAAGCGATCAAAAGAGTCGAGATGAAGACGAAGATTGTGAGCGTGGAGCATACATAACAGATGCGGGTCCTCTGAATCGAGACGTGTGGCTAAATATAAGAGATCCAGGAGCTGCTGAAAGAGAGAATCAAGGAAAGCAAATGTCAGCCAATGAATTGCCGACGTAAGTGAATACTTCGCCAAATCGTCGGAATCGAACTCATCAACAAAAAGAAAGCGGCAGTGGCACGCAAACGTGCGCATCCTGTTGTTCATTCGTTGGTATCGCTACTGCTAAGGTTTTCAAAGGCTACCTCTTTGGCCCGGTACGGAACAGGTTCTGCCAGAACAACTGTTTCAGTACCTATGGGAATGTTTAACTCTGGACCCATCGGCAGTGACTCGACGTCGATCTCGACATTCAACAGAGTCTTGAGAATCACTTGACTTCCCGCTTTGCTCATCACTTCGTTCGCTTGCTTGCACAACTCTGAAGCCACACATTCAACACAACCTCGCTCACAGTGACAGTCTTCGACCCGCTTCAACGCATCCCGTAGTAGCTGGTCGACATGGTCAAACGCTTTCGTGCTGATACCTGAGCCTCCTGCACCGCCTTTGGCATCGTAGAATGTCAACCTTGCTGGTCGCTTCCTCTGTGATTCTTGTTTTGCGAACTCTTTCACTGCCGTCTTACACTCTGTTCGTACATCCCCGGGCATGCTGATAACAAAAGCTGGCAGTAGACTCATGATAGCATGCTCTGCAGCGTGAATCGCAGCGGCAACGTGAAGGCGTCTCTCTTGGAGAATGCTCATCGCCTTCTTAGGCACGTCGAGCCACATTCCCTTGCTGAAACGTGTCACTGGTGGATTGTCTACCTGTACCGCATCCAACACTCGGTTCTTCTTGTCGACTTTGAAGAATCCAAACACGTTTTGCTGGATCTTGATTGTTCCATAGTAAGCATGCGACCGAGAATTCGAGATTGTTCTGATAGCCTCTGTCTCGGTGGGATCGATATCAGTATAATCACGCTGAATAGTTGTCCACTCAACCTTGACCCTTTCCACCCTGGCCATTCCTTTGTCGGGCTGGAAGTCTCGTACAAGGTAGGGGTTTCCCTGGTGGAGAAAAATGGCTCCATCGTAAAGTGTAAAAGTTGCTCTAGAGGCCTCCAGCTCCTCCAGGACAACATTTCGGCCGTTGGTGATATCTATGATAGCAAAGTGGTCGTCTTCCGTGTCTCGTATAGCAACATACTTTGCAGGGACAGGGCGAAATCGATCATGGCAATGATAAAAGCCCATTTCATCTTTCATTAGACGCTCCATGCAGATCTTCGGTAAATCTTTGCCAAAGTATTTTGCATCATCTTTTGGGCGTATTGGCATTTCATATGCCGCGCATTGAATGTGTCCCTCACGCACAAGCATGTTCTCCAGATCAACCTGCAACTCGCAGTTGGGCTTTGTGAATAGCTCGTCTGGATTCTGCATGTAATGCTGGTCTGTAGCAAATCCGTCACCAACCAAAATCGAAAGTGAATCCTTGTTGCGACGGCCAGCACGGCCACTTTGCTGTCGCAGGTTGGCAATAGTATAAGGGAATCCCCACGTCATAACACAATCAAGGGAGCCAATATCGATGCCGAGCTCTAACGCAGTGGTTGCAACAATTCCGAGCAGTTGACCTTGAAACATTTCAGACTCGATCCTACGGCGGTCTTGTGCTGTATAGCCGCCACGATATCCCATCACCAGATTGGTACATTCTGACCGCCCCAGGTTCTCGAGCTCCTGCTTGATGGTGCTCACGAGCAGCTCGCATTGCGCCCGAACTCTGCAAAATGCGATGATCCTTACACCTCTTAGCATCAGGGCACAGAACAGGCGTGCGCATTCGAACTTGGTGCTGCCACGGCCAGATGCAGGATCGCCAGGGTCTTTATACGGAGTGTTCCAGCACAGAAACTCCTTGCGTCCCGATGGAGATCCATCGTAATCTATCAGTTGGACGTTTTCTATGCCGAATATGGTCTTGAAGTGTTGCTCTGGGTTCGCAACTGTAGCCGAACACGATATAAACTTGACGCGCCGGTTTCCTACGGCGGCACATATTCGCCTCAATCTTCGCATGATGAAGGACATGTGAGATCCCATTTGACCATTATAATAGTGCAACTCATCCACTGTTGATGATTAGTACGCGTATAGAAAGTATAAATCAAAGAAAGCACTTACCAACGACATATTTCAAGTTCTTCAAGTAAGATCTCCATCGTTCTTCTTGGGGTAATATGGTGATATGAAGCATATCTGGATTTGTGAAAATGATTCTTGCCTGCTCCCGAATCTCATTGCGCTCTGTCATTGGGGTGTCGCCATCGAAAGTCTCTACCATAGTGTCTTCAAGACCAGGCATATAACTCATCATCTCTTTCAAGCTCCTCTTCTGGTCCTGTGCTAAGGCTTTTGTGGGAAAGATGTACATTGCTCTGGAGTTGTAGTCCTCTTCGAGGGCACGAATGACCGGGAGTTGGTAGATCAAACTCTTGCCAGAGCTTGTTGATGTTGACACTACAACGTGCTTACCATCGTGCAGACTGTTGAGAGCCTCTGACTGATGCGCATAGAACTGTGTGATTCCCTTGGCGTTGTAGAGAGCGTTGACCAAATCCTGGCTCAAGAGAAAGTTGAGATCTCCATATACAGCCTCCTGCTTCTCAAAGACTCGGTGTCCATCAGGGACAATCTGCCCAGTGTACCAGGGGCTCTCCTTGAGCTCCTGTACGATTTCTGGCACGGTCTTACGCTCCTTTGGTATGCTTTCTGGGATGGAATCGGCTGCCTTCTCCGGTGCAAACTCTTCTTGGGCAGAAGGGGCTGGGATGTATGCCTTTGTCTGTACTTTGAGAGTTTCAAGTGGATCAATCCCATCTTCGGAGCATTTGTTAAGGAACATATTGATAGCATTGGCGAATCTTTGGTTACGCCTCTCAATCAAATTTGTCATCTGCTTTTGGCTGAAAACAGGCATTCTCAACTGCTCGTCTCTCAATTTACGGTTCGGCTTCGTTGGCTCGCCAGCCTTGCCTGGGACTTGTCTCTTCAAATCGCCATCGATGAATTCGAGAAAGAGGACTTCCCGTCCTGCAGGTTCGAGATCCCGATCATGTTGCTTGTCAAGGCTGTCCATGCCAGTGTATCCGCCCACCGAAGCATCATGCGCAGGAGCCTGAGACCTGAATGATTTGCCAGTTCGGAAGACTTCGTCTCTTTCAGTGCCTTTGACATCAAGTTGTAGCATATTCTCGTCGACATATGCAAAGAAAAGGCCCTCGGGACGAATCGCCACCATAGAAGCAATCTCATCGGCCAATAGTTCCCGCTTGATATGGGCTTCAACGGCAGATTTGATAGTGTCAAATGTCGTGGCGAGATGTTTTCGAGTCGTGCAGAAGGTGTAGACAAGATTGAGAGCTCGATGCGTTCGCTCGACTTGCTTGAACTCTTCTGGCCACTCCACAACGCAGGGTACTACTACACTGCTAGCTTCTTTCTTAAGAGTCGGCCGCCCTTTTGCTCCTTTGCCCCCCCGTTTGGGTTTCGAGCTGCTCGACTGACTTGAAGTCGGGCTCTCAGCTGTTGAGTCTTCGTCGCCATCACGCTTGCGTTTCCCCCCTGGCAGTGAATATTCTGTGTTAAGACCAGTTCGGTCTGGTATTTCCTTGGGCTTTGCCATGTAATTACTGGAAATTGAAGAAAAATATGCGAGGCTCGACTTAATTCATGACAAGATGAAAGCCGTTTCAAGACGTGAAAGTGGCGACGTCATGCATTGCCCGAGTCGCGAAATTGATGCCAAATCACGTGCATTAATTACAACATCACCAACAGCCAAATGGCACGAGCAATACAAAACCTAGCAGAAACAGATGTTATTGTATCAATCGAAGCGTATTTATTTGTGCGAATATGACTGCATGACCAGCACACGGCTGTGATTTCATCTCCATCTATCTCAGGACTTATACTAATGGCTTCCCAATACCATTGTCAAGACACAGCAATGCTCCCCAAATGATAGCTATGTATACACAATTCTATCCATGGTTCCGTGCAAAAGCCAGAAAGCGAATAGACTCTCACGGTGCATTGTATCAACATGTGTGTTCCGAGCTGGGCACGACTTTGTATCCTTCTAGTCGTTTGCCCTGCTTGCCATTTGCACAAACGGCACCTGGCCTGACTGGCTTCCTCATGTATCAATGCAAATCCCCGTTTGCGATTCTACCAGGGCTTGAGGTTAGGTATCACCTCTTTATGGGGTTTTAACAGCTTTGCAAGAGCTTTCCAAACAATGCCTAACTGTTCTGAAGTTCTTTTTGGATGATTCCAATCTCATTCATGAAAAGCTTTGCGTTAGCAGCTGACATCTACATGACGTCTGTCAGTTCCAAGTAGTATACAGAAAATTCCAAGCATTGCGACTTACTCTCATTGTGATGCTCACAGGTTTGGACTGTTCACCCTCGAAAGCAGTGAAGAGAATGCCAACAGACTTTAATGAAGCCTTTTCTTGGAATTTCATGGCGGCGACAAGCGCTGTGTTCAAAATAACTCGATGGGTCTGATCTTGGCGCATGATGAGACGGGCAACCTTGTGCCCTTGAGATCCTCCTGCGGCCTCCTCATCCACTTCCAAAGCGGAAGCATCAAATGAACCAGGGATGACAGCGCCATTTTCGTCGTATTCGACACAGGCCTGGGGCACATTAATTTTAAGCATACCCGCACCTCGTTCTTTCCATCCGGCCTCTTTGTCGTGGTAAAACATCTTGGCCCTCACAGAGACAACCGTTGCCTCGCCGGCTTCGCCATCGTTGACCTCGACTAATAACTGTCAGTATTAACTTGATAAAGAGACAGATAGGACACTCGCCTTTCTGCAACTTAAGCTTCTTTTTCTCCTCGGATTCCTTCTCTGGTGAAACAGCACGTTCGGCTTCAGGAGGCTGCTCACTCTCCTCTCTTTCTTCGTCCTCTTCTTCGTCCGCCTCGGACTCACTATCCGGGGCACCAAATGGCTTCGCAGGCTTCTCGCTCTTGAGGGGCTCCGCACCAGGCGCGGCGAAGCTCGAGAGGGGCTTGGTACCCACTAGAGCAGATCCAAAAGTGCTTCCACCAAACGGGCTTCCGTTGGTTGCAGTCGATAAGCCTGCAAAAGGCGACGCTCCTCCTGAGCTTCCAAAGGTCAGCTTGGGCGGCGCGGCAGGCTGTGCTGTTGTGGATGAGGGCGGAGAAGCAAATGAGCTAAGCGAGGGCTTGCCAGCAGCGAGCGATCCGAACGCACTTCCGCTCTGAGAGGCACCAAGAGAAGCAAAAGGCGATGTCCCGGATGACAGCTTGCCAAAGCCAGACGCCGCGAAAGCGGTAGCAGATGTTTGTCCTTGGGGCTTTTTTGTAGGTGATTTGCCCGCTTCGGTGTCTTTGGTCGCCTCTCTGGAAGCAATTGTCGATGGCTGCAAAGGAAGAATTAGTCCAGTCCCTACATCTCCGCAAACAAAACTGCAGTTAGCATACCAAATCTGTATCTTCGTCGCGATGTCGCTTCTTCTCGGGCTCGGTTCGCAGAGCTCTATCCTTGGCCGAGTCAGATGATGCTACGCTGTTCGCATCGTTTTCCTCAGCATCCTTGCTTCCCTCTAGTTGGTCATGCGCGCGCTTCTTCTTAGGAGAGGTGACTTGCTCTTTCAAGTCATTATCGGGCGCATCCGATGTGTTGGCAGCATCTTCTGGACCAGATGTTGGGGGGTCGGAGATAGAAGATTGCTTTAGTTCGCGACGAGTAGCGCGAGTCTCTTCGTCTTCCTTGGTTTCGACGTTGAGAGGTTCGTTCTTGGGACTGGCATCGGGAGCGTCGTCGGCCATGGTGTTTAAAGGCTTGGTGTGATGACGGCAGATTAAGGACGACCAACGGTAACAGGATTGAGTTTGATAAGGAGAAGACGTTGAACTTTTGACGTAGATTTTATAGTTTAAGAGGCAAAACAAGGCATGTAAGGTCCGAGAATCACGAGTGGTGTATGAGCAAAAATATGCGCTGGACTCGGAATCAGGCTGGGCGCAGGTTGTCTGAGTTGGGTCGCTCTTCGATGTTGGAATCGAAGTTGAGTTGAGCGCTGCGTGGAGCCAATCAAACACATGCAGAGTCGCCGATGTCAAAATAACCAGAGCTAACCCAGACACCTGGGCCTACCTTTACCTACTGTAGCTAAGGTATTCACCGCCCGCCTGGCGCCAATGTCCACGCCGGCAGGAGGGGTAACAATGGAAGATCGAGATTGGACGTCATTTTTACGATTAAACAAAGAGAAAATGATCACAAACAGTTGGGGAAAATGTGAAACGCCCAAAAGGATTGTATGCAAGTTGACTTTATACTGAAACTCGACCCTTAACCATGACTTTGTTCCACCTTTAAACAAAAACCTTAACTACCTACCTTGACCGATCTTTGTTTAAATGGACCAAAGCCCACCAGTTCATACCTACCCAGCTTCCGGTTCGGGAGCAGAAGTTGTAACCTTGCTTTAACCTCAATAGTCACCCGGCAAATGCATGTTCGTTGAGCCATTCATAGCATGATTCGTGAATGTGTGCCATCTCATATTGTCAGTCTTTTATATGCCCAGAGATCTCTGCATCTAGAATAGAATAGGACCCAACGGCTTGGTACCTTATCTCCACGTTAATCAAGCCAGGGATCTGTTCCGTTTTGGGAAAACAAACAAACTGCCATATTCAATGAAGCATATCATGATAAAAATTGATACATGTTTGTAAAGAATAGTTCAAGAACCCTAGAAATCAGTCCATGACACCCCATCACCGAAACACTCAACACCGCAGTTCTAGTAAGGTTCCGGTTCGTTTCAAGTAAGAATACATCAGTATAAATCAACCCTTTTAACCACACCGTCTTTTCAAGTTGCAGCAACCGAATACTGAAATGCGTTTCCTGGTTGCGAGCCTGGGCCTAGCTAATAAAGCACAGACAGCCAAGACCGAGATAGAAGACAAGCAGAGGGTACACTGCAATGGCTACTCGGTTCTTGACAACTCCGCTGCCACCGAGAATGCTGACACCAGCAGCCAGAGACCAGCTGATAAGGACGATATAGATGGGGATGCGAGCAATCCAGTGAAGACCTAGAGCAGACATCATGGCAGCAAGAACCAGAGGGAAAAGAGTATATCCAATGATGCAGACGCTCTGAGCGAAGGAGCTTTGAACAAGTTAGCAAATGTCACATGCGCAAACCCAGATAGCGAAACATACATGTTACCACCCAACAGCTTGATCTGTAGCGTCACGACAGCCTCACCGAGCCAAATCATGGCAAAGACACCACTGAATACAGCATCGCGCTGCTCAGATCGAGCGGTGATGCTCAGGAGAACACTTAGAAGCAGACAGAAGATCAGAGGACCCCAGAGATCCCAGTCGCGAAGACCAGGAGTCATGTTGCTCTGGAGCAGAGCCTCAGCATCAACCATACGGCTTGCCAGTCCGGTGAGTTCTTCTCTTGTCCCTGAAAGACCAGCGCCGCGGATGCTGGAGTAAGCACCGCGCAGACCTCCCTCGTTATCAAACATGGTACCGCCCAGGAGATAGCGTGGGTAGAGCACCTCTCTGAGCTTTGCCCAGACAGCGAGCAGGTCGCGGCGCAGTGTATCCCATACGGACTCGTCAATTGTATTTTGGGGAGCTCTTCGGTCTTCTCCGGGGATTCGCGAGGTCAGATAACCTTCGTTCAGCGGTCGCGATGATGAGCTGGAGCCAATGTTGCCTGTCAAGGGCTGACGGGAGTTGTTGGTCGCAAGAGGGTCGTCGAAGTCGTTGAGATCAGCTGGATATGTTAGTTTCCACAGAGTGTACAGTAGAGCCTTGTATGTTCGAGCAAGAATAAGAATCTGGTGAGCGATCACTTACCATCATCAGGGTCGATCAGGTCGTCCTCGTCCTCCAAAGGTGGGTTGGCATAGTGCCCTCGGGCGCTGGAAGCGGACATGATCAGAACTTGATGTGAAGTTCCGCTCGATTTAATAAACCAGTTCTGCAATACGCGCTGATTGCGATAGTATAGTAACCGTCTTTCCAGCGGAATCGTGGTTTCAAAAGAGCGAAGGTTGCTAAATATGAAGCTGACGTACGTATCTCTCTCTAATAACGGCGAAACTTCCACGGTCGCCTCTCCAGAAACCACCCCCTTGATGAGAGGTGGCCCAAGCTTCCCTTTCCCTGGAGCCAATCACATGCGCGATCCAGCTTAGGTACGCGCAGGGTAGTACCTCAAGGGCGAAGCCACTTCAATTGGGTCCCTAAATGGTAATTCTGATCCAAACACGCATTTGTTATACGAGAGTCGGAATTATTCGTTTGAAGAGCGGAAATCACAATATATTAATCACATTCAAGGTTTTCCCCCAGCACATGTCTACGGACGATTCCAGCTACACCGTCTCATTTCTCCTCACCACAACAGCTTACTTCGAAGAGTGCAGGAGATTGATCAAGATTGAGATCAAACAAACAAGCCTGCCGCCACTGAGCTGTTGAGTTATAAACAACACATCAGTTAAACCCTTCTCCCCTCATTTCCTTTGTTCAATATTTCATGATCAATGATATATACATCCCCAGAATACTTTCCAATAGGCCCTATCTTGAACGACACTAATGCCATCCGTTTGTATGGTTATGGTGATCCTCGGCTGACGTCGTAGGAACTTGAGGGTTTCCAAGCCAATGCTGTCCGTCACTCCACTGGCTTGGAGGTTGGTTCACTGAAGAAGCCGTCATGTTGGAGGGATCCTGATGGTGCTGACGGCTGTTCTGGGCGAACGCCTCTTGGTTGCGTTGATGAGCCAATGGTTGTGAATACCATGAGTTACCATGGCCATTGGTTGCATGGTTCTGATATCCCATTCCAGTTGTGCTGTAATCTGCTGTTCTCTCCATCGAGAACTCAGTTGACACCGAGTCCTGCTGGTGGAGCGATGACTGCTGTCGTTGGGCCTCTCGAGCCCATCGCTGAGCAGCCTGGTTGTAAGGCCCTTCGTATGAGGCGTCTCCCGCTTCGGGATCCCATATGGGAAGACCGTCGGGAGGTTGAGCCTCTCCTGACGGCTGACCATGACCATAAGATGCTATATTTCCGTTGATACCCACGAGGGCCCAAGCGAATACAGCAACATCTCTAATGGACTGCATGAGCTGATCCATAGGTGGCCCGCCGGCAGCTTGGATACCACTTCGCAATGGCATATGGTGTGGAGCATATGGAGCTTGGAAATTGTGAACAGCCTCGTGAGGATACTGGGGATACACAGGTTGTTGCGCCCAAGGAGCAGCGAACACACCATGGTCGAAGGTAGAAGGGATTTGGAGAGGCTCGGCACTGGGAATCTGAGGTCTTGCTGGGCGGAGGATGACGACAAGACCGTCAGAGGTACATGAGACGACCGCTTCCAGCTCGACAGAAGGTGCCAATTGTCGTGCTGGGCGGCTGCGCGATCTGCGTGCTTGGGGTGCGTTATCCTCAAGCGGTTGTGGCGACTGTGGTGTGAGAGGAGTCTGATAACCAGCAGCTCGTGAACTAGAGCCCAGAGCATTGGAGCTCGTAGTGCGGGATTCACCCGATGTTTCGTTGGAAGTAGTGCCATCCTGCATGTCCACATCGGGCTCTGCCTTGATGGAGGGACCTGCTGAGCCCCGGTGGGAGTTGGAGTTGGAGTTAGAGTCGATATCCATGGCACCATCCAACTTAACGCCACCTCCCTCAGAATCGCTAGAGCGGCGGCTCTCAGCACGTCGTTGCTGGTTCGGTCCCATTAAGCCGCTTCCAGATCCATTCTGGCCTGGGTACGGGCTGTTGCTGGTGCCGTTTCTGAGATGACGAGGTCCCTCGCTTTCATTTCGCTCATCAACTCCATCAATCGTCGACTCCTCGTCGACATTGCTCTCTTCGTCCTCGAAGTCTTCGGGTCGTCGTGGATCTCTAGACCAGAATCGCAAGTAAGCAATGGAATCATTGGCCTTCGCACTCTCAATGCACTTAAGCGCATCATCCAAGCAGGTCTCTCGAATGCATTCGTAGAAGCTTTTATGCTGGACTTGTTCGGCAGGAACCCCGAGGATGGAGGCGACAGCATCGGTTGCAAACATGACAGTCAATGTTCTAGTGAACCGATTGAGGATAAGAGCAGCTCGGGGTTCACGCTCTACGGGTGGCAACCTGAACTTAGGGGACAGATGTTGCAACATGTGATATCGTGGGTCTCTAGGGGAGCGTGAGAAGAGACGCCTGACTTGTGGTGCGTCCAGAGCACGTCCTAAATTGTGTCAATACATGCAAAAAGGTATGTCAGGGGGCGAGGTGACTGCATTACAGAGTACCTCAAGGTGAACATACTCTCACTCTTGGCATCACGCCGGTAGATACTTATACAAGCAAAAAGAATATTGTGGACGATTGAGAAGCAGCATTCACTGCTTACCCAACGACCATCACAAGAGCGAAGACGTGCATAGTGCAGAACGGCCGCCTTGTCCAGCAAGACGCCGCGACTATGGACGGATCGCGCATATGGGATTTCATCCGGATGAAAGAATTCGAAAGCAGACTTATTGATGACGTCCTGTGGAGAGTATCCAAGGATTTCAAAGATGGAATCAGACGCGTAAAGGATATTAGCGTCCGGATGTAAATCTGGATGAAAACGTGTTAGTGCAGGTTTGGGAGAGGCGAGACTGTGGCAGAGATAACTCACTATGTATAGTCAAGAAAGTATGCTCCATGAAGATAACGGTGCAAGAGCAGCGAGCTCCGCAACGAACTGGTCTGGTAGTAGAGTTCTAGTTCAAAGCGAGAGATATGCAGGCAGGGCGTGTCCAGTGAATGTTGGCTAATACCAATCAATGATCACTGGAGAGGCGAATATTGGATGATCGTTCGAGATCAGAGTTTAAGCGAGTGCACGAAGGGACTCGACCGCGAATAAATCAGAGTCGAGGAACAGAAGAAGTGATGTAAGTGGGCTGAAGGTCTCCCACCATAACTCGCTAACCTGAGATAGTGTCTTTTGGCGTCAACTGCCAAAGTGGATCTAGTCGATAGTAGGTGTGAGACTTTGTGATCTAGAGGCGGGTAGGTAGTGGAAGATATCTTGAATAACAGGGCACGGACGTGGTAATCAAGTCCGAGGTCCTTAATGATATGGGTTTAGGGACTAGAATAGGAGCACAATGTTTTGGGGGTATTCAAGATGAGGCAATTGCTGATCTGGTGATACAGATCATGAGTCTCAAAGGGAGAAACTGAGGTTGACGATGATGGACAAAGTCGTAGAGCAATTTGGTCAAGTAAAGAGATGCCTGGGCACTGAAATACCTAGCAGATATGGATTTCTCTCTATGGTGCCTAAGAGCACTGAGGAGAATGAAGACTGAGAATGAATTGGGTTGCAGCTATTGAGGTGAACAAGTGCGAGCAACACAGAGATATATAAAAAGAGACCAAGAGATGGCTGTTAATCGTGAACCAGGGTTGTGTACGAATCCAGTCTAGGGACAGGGCCCCGGAGCAACGCGCATCCGGGAATGGGGAACTCAACAGTGTTGTCTGTATGCGAGTGAGAACCAGAAAATGTAAGGCTCGAAAAAAAAAAAACAGGGAGTGAAAAGTGAAAAATGAGATTATTCTCTGGGCTTAACCGGGGGCTTGACGAGTTAAGGTTGGTTGGTTGGTTTGCGATGGATGTTTGTTGTTTAATAAGAAGAGGTTGTCCACACTCGACGTCACAGCTGAAAGATTTATCAGTTTAGTACTCAACTATTGTTTGGAGTCAAGCCCTGGTCTTTTGACTTGGTTTTGAGCTGTTCTTGAACTCCCTGGACCCCAAATGTTATCGTCAACGATATACTCGAGACAACGTTGTTGTTGACAAAAGATCGTCATCCTCGAGTACCTCGTCACGGAGGCTTATGCACCTGAGACAAGGTTGCTTACAAGGTATATTCCAACCCCATCACACAAAAACCCAAGGCTAAGAGGGACACGAAATGCCACTTGCAGCGATGGTCAAGAAACTCCGAAGTTCGTCGGATGCACCGTTGGCGGGCTGCGGATTTACCGTTTGTATGTAGGTACAGTACCTAGACTAGGTAGAGTAGATGATATTCAGAACCACCTCGGGGTGCAGGGAGACTCGAAATGAGGCTGCAGTTCTGGAGGGTGGCCACGATGTGTTACTGGGTTACGTAGTCTTGGGAAAAGCAAAGACGCTCAACGCCATCCTTGACAATCAATGGTCGAGTTTCGAGAACAGAGACAACAAGAGTCTCTTTGCTGCAGGTTTATCCTGTTGGGTAACTCAATGAATGGAGGAAACAATTGGGACAACCAGCCAACCAACCAACCCTTGAAAAGCTGAACGGAAATGGCTTGCAGTTCTCATTGTCCTCATGACTCGCGGTCTGTGCAAACATTTGATAGGTTTGTCTCCCCTCAGTATTTTCTCTTTCTTTTTTGATGGCGGGGAAGGGAATGAGGAATGACGTTGAACAGAATGACGAGTAAGATTAACGACCATGCACGGAAAAGGAATAGTTGACAATCGCTGAAGGAGGGGACCACAATTAATCGTTGCTCCGATGTTGAAACAAGAGAGCTCAATCAAAGATCGAGCTTCTTATGCCATCAATCGAGGAATTGGCTTTGTCTTCTCCGATACTTTCCTCACTTATCATCCAGGGGATCCATCAGTTGCTGTACAGTATAATTCGGTGTTTCAAGATGAGGAATAATTTCTACAGATAATACAGGGTTATTGTGCACGAACCAGCATGTGCCTCTCGTGACACAATTCTTTGTTGCCTCATCTATAGTAGTTCTATCTCTTAATGAATACTAATCGTCACACTTTTGCATGATCAAAAATTTCGTTTTGTCTGTTGTGTCACAATACGCCATGCCCCCATCCGCCTCAGCATGCCGTATCCCTCGAAACTTCACGCAACAGCGTTATCACTAGGTAGCAGCCGTTATTGCTTTTGTGCCCACCTCGATAATGCTCTTCTCCTGAGCAGGTATCTTGGGGGGCGTGCCATCGCAAGACCCTTGTTCTAATGGAGTGTAACTCAGACCCGGTCATGGTGCTCCTGTAGTCTAGGGACTGAAGCTCATTCTTCAAGCGCGGGATCTGGAGGTCGTTGGTTGACGGCGCCTTTCCCGTTGCACAACCCTTTGGATAACTGACAACGGGTAGCTAGGTCATTTCTCCCTTGCTCAAGCCACAAGGGACCAGTGGACGGATAACTTCAATCCCGGCCCAGCCCATCTCATGATGGAGCACCGTCTGATACTGCAAGACCGTCCTTGTGTCCCTCACTAAAAGTTGGACGAAGTTTATCGGGAAGTCGTTGCGAGGACCCTTGAACACCCTAGCACGTCAACGCCCGTGCTGCGATCGATGGCGGATGGCTTGGTGTGCTCAGTTGCAAGTCCCTGACATTTATGATCGACAACTAGGACCTTGATAGTGAGGCTAGCGTGACGGAGGCTTGATTGGTAGGTAGCCATCCATTCTTTTTGTATCAATGTTACTCTGGCCTTGAAAATGTAGCCAATCGTCACGAAAATTCAGGCCGAAAGTGTGTTTGCTGAGATGGCTCTGATGGCAACCTGAATTGGACATTGAAGCTGGTAGTCTAGATATCCTGAGCATCATTGACGACAGAAAGCCTTCAGAAGAAGTTGGGCCTTTTCTTTGCTGCGCTCGCTCAGTTTCTAGGTATACTCATGGTCATGGGATCATGCATCAATACTACACACAGGATTGTGAGACCGATGCGAGGCAGAGCCACGACGACGCGAGTGTAATGAGTGACTGTGCGTCAGAATGACAGTGAATTCCCTCGAAACACTACGTTTGGATCGAATACGATCAGATCAGGCACTCGGCTGTACGAGGCGGTGATGAGGTAAGTGAGGTCATGTACGTCTCAAAGCTCCGTCATTCCGAAGTGTATAGGCAACAAGATGTCCCAGCTCACGACATTTGTATCTGTGGTGTATCAAGACTCATACGAGGCACGAAGAGGTTAGATGATTTACTTTCGTCTTTGGTATGCAAAGCCACAAAGATCTTCGACTTGGAAGCTGAGCATTCCTGAGGTAACAATTGCGCGCAACTGACCTTGAGAATGATTCTGCGGTGCTGCAGGTTCTGCAATAGAGACTGGATCCAAGATGTGAACGACATGAAACGAGAGGAATGATTGGTGATATGTAGTGCAAGAAGACGTTTTGAAAGAGCAAATCATTCTGCAGCCTGGAGGAAATGCTCCTTGGCCATGCAGATAATGTCTAAGTTGACATCACGATCCATCTCTTGACATTGACAATGAGAGCCAGCCTAGACCTAAAGCAAGCTGGTGGTCGTTGAGACGTACGTTAGGTACCCGTCATTCGTATGGGGAGTCTGAGATTTCACTCCTCAGGCTATTTCTACCTATAGAGCCAAATCTCAGACCGTTCTAATGGTAGGGTAGTCTCTGCTTGGTAGGTAATATTTGGTGAAGTGTAAGAAGGAGCCTGAGGTAGGAAAAAGAATGAACTGCTTCGCCAATGGAAACTCTCGCTCGCTGATCCAACCAACCAGAGCCTGCTTAGCACTCAGACCCACCTTGCTACTAAGTGACCTTATTCGCCGCTCTTTCTCTCAACAACATCTACTAACGTAGCATCATTCAACTCGACGCGCATCGCGTTGATAATTCTTTTCTTGATCCTGGATTTTGATGTGAACGGCAAAGCGAAATAATGGTGGCTTTTTAACTATATTATTAATCCTGATACTCGCGATTCAGAGACCAAAGATTTTGTTTCTTTTCTGCTTGTCTCACGACGCTGCTCCTAAGTTCTCGTCAATGGCGTTTATTTTGTTGTCAACCTCTCAACCTTGCCTCCCGGTCTACAAGCCTTCAAAGAGACAACAACATCAAGCAATTCTTGCCTACACACCCAAAAGGAGAAATCGACTCTCGTCATCTCCCCGCAATTCCCACCCCTGTGTGCAACATTGTGAGGTCTTATCCAAGATTAGTCGCCAAAGCATAATCTTGAACGGTTATTATTGATTAGCCAGCCAGTATGGCTATCACCGATGACAATGCGTTTGAGCTACCCAAGCTTCGTTCCTCGTTCTCCCTAGAAGTAATCATCTACATGCCCCATAGAGTCCTCGAAACTGACAAATTCATTAGAACGATACAGAGTTTCTCGAGAATGACAACGTTGCTGGTATTGCCCCCTTTTTTCATTCGACCTAGTAGTCAATGCATTGTCTTTTCTAACGCAAGGTTTTCCGGGATTGTAGAGTTCTTTGATGTCAAGTTCTGTCCTTACCAGCCTCTGGATGCACCACCTGTCTTTGCAGCTATCAGCAAAAAGCATGTAAGTCTCCCCTCAATCTGTTGAATTCTGCCAGAACGAATTCTCACGCGTGCCCAGGTGGTTATCTGTACCCTATCTCAAACAGCTGACAACAACCCATGCGAAGTCCTCTCAGTGATCAGAGATGATGATGTAGGCATTGCTTAATGTGCTCTACCTGCCCATTGTGGTTTGCTAACATTGTCCAGGAAGAGGCTTCCGCATGCTGTTGTACTTGGACAAAAGATCCCGTAACAGGAGCCCCCTACCTATGCATTGGTGGAGTCGATGCCAAAGTCAAGATCTATGATGTTGTGAACGGGAAACTATACAGGGTATCTTCTATTCCAAGAAAATGTTGTGCAATGGCAGTCGCTGACTCTTGCTTGGTTCTAGTGCCTTACCGGCCACGGAGGTGTTCGTTCATCTACTCCAATTTGTCACGCTTTGACACAGAAACTTATTTGAAGCAGGATGTCAATGATCTAGCAACTTCTCCTGCAGACCCGTCTATTATCGCCTCCGCTTCTGGTGACACGAGTATTCGTGTCTGGAGTATTGACCCAGTCCACGCCAACCGGCCCTGCTTGGTTATCCTCGCTGGTGAAGGCCATTCATGGGATCTTCTCAGCTTGGTGGGATTTTCACTCGATTTCAACGTCTACTTCCTGAATGCTGACAATTGCCGCTAGGCTTTCCATGACACTGGCCGGTACATCCTGTCCGCTGGCCATGACCAGATTATTAACCTGGTAATTATGTTTCAGCAAGCTTATGGCGCACCTTTCTAATTTTGTCAAAGTGGACGCTCCCTGATCTGCCTACCGAGGCCATCACTACCCCTGTCCGTGTTCACTACCCTCACTTTTCGACCTCGGCAGTCCACAGTGGTATCATCGATTGGTAGGCTCTGTGTTCATTTCTGATGGTCTGAATGCTAACACAGCACAGCGTGGCATTCTATGGTGACTATATCCTATCTAGGGCATGCCATGACAATGTTATCTCGCTTTGGAGAATAGAGGGTTTCTCTTCCTCAAATCCTCCCCCTCCCCAGAGTATGGCGCCGACAGCTCAGACAACTGTTCCAACCAATTACGACGAGGCGAGCCGTCTCACACGTTCAGCGTTTGTTCCAACGATGTCTCCGCAGTGTCCCTCTCAGTATACTATGCTGCTCCAGTTCCATACTCCCAACTGTGGCCCGCAGTTCTTCATGCGTTTTAAGTTACATTTTGTGCCGGATCAGCATCCAGTTTTGGCATTTTGTAATGCAGGTGGAAACGTTTTCTTTTGGGATTTCGAACGCTTGTTAGCGTACCGAGAGTTTATGGAAGTGCTCAAGGACCCAAACAGGGACAGGAGTAAACCAGTCCCCCATCCAAGTTGGATGAGGCTTGTGAAGGGTCGACCACCCAAGACGGACTCTAATAAAGGCCGGAACGGAGGGGCCGACAAGGACATTCCAAGCGCCTTCCGAGCAGACGCAATCAGGCTGAGTGAAGAGATTGGTGACTATAACGCAGAGACCCTAGAGACCTGGGCGTCGAGGTACAGTCAAGAGGATCCTCATGAGCCGTTGAAGGCACATAAGACGGAGTCTTCATCTGCCAATTTTGTGGGTCGACAGGCAGCCTGGAGTCCCGGAGGAGAGTGGTGTGTCGTGGTGGGAAGCTCGAATCAGGCATTGATCCTCCAGCGCTGGGCTAACAAGGGTTCGACATCAAGAGCATCTGCCTCTGCCTCTGTATCTGCCCCTCCGTCCGCTCCCCCATCTGCCTCTATCCAAAACGGCACGAGTTAGTATAATGGCCGAAGGACCCGTTCATCGTCAACAAGACTAGAGACCCCTAATCGGTAGACTTGAGTATAGTGGAATAGAAGTATCTTCCTCGACGTCACCTGAAGGGTTCAAAACTTTCCACGCAGCGTTGTCTATCTCGCCTCCATATGTGATTATTCTCTCCAGTTGGTTTCTGGCACTCTCTTGTTCCCTTCGTCTTGCTTTCTGCCCTTCTTCAGCCTGAAACTGCGAGACTGGGCTGATAGGAAGGACTAGGTCTGCAATATAAAGAGAGGCCATAGCGCGTAGTCGAAGATAATGTTGATTCCTTGAATAAGGCATATCTTGCATCAGTACATCCATCCTCTTTGTGATATCCTTCATGATGGATAATGCCTGGACTCGCAGCTCGTCCTTCTTCTGAAGTTTCCTGGCTTCAACGCTGTCTGTTTCGTCACTTGCGATGCTTTCATCATTGCCGAAAGACTCCCGGCGAGGGCCTTTATCGATCTCGTTCCCCAGCCGATCCAGGGCCAGTACGTGCTCTGTATGCGTATTGTAGATTTCGCAGCTAAACAGAGCAATCCAGAAGTCCAAGGCTGAGACGACCTTGGGGGTCTTGTAGTCATAGGGATGCTGCTGGATGAGGGTGTCGAAGTAGGCTTTGACCTTGTTCATATTGGCAGCCCGGCCCCATCTCTTCGTTGACGTTGGTTGATTCTCATGTGACTTTTCATCTTGTTGTAAACTCTCTTCCCCCTCACGCATGAGAATCTCTGCACCAATAGCCCAGAGATCGTGATGCCGGGTATCGACAGGGAGGCCAGACGGACGTAGTTGCAGAATTAGACCATACGCACGAGACGCCTTATTTATTTCTCCTCTATCAAGAAAGTAGTGAATAGACTCTAAGAGGACATCGAAATGACCGCCCCGTTTACGGCTTGTGGTTTTCTTAGACTTTGGACGCGCTGCTTCGTCTCCTTCTGTCTCTGGATCTTCATCGCTCTCAGCTTCAATAGCAAAAGCCTCGTTTGATGAAATACCGCGATGCGGAAAGTCTCGTATGCGTTGTGAAGGGTTCTCATCCTTTTCTGAGAGGCCGGCGATTGCGAACTGGGCAACTACGCCAGGAGAATGACTGAGAGGGTTGATGGAGCTTTGGGGCAGTGAGCTTGAAAAATCGGCATCTGTTATTTCTGGCCGTTTGCGTTTATTTGCTCTGATTTGTTGTGAGAATGATGGAGGGTCGAGTAAAGAGTCCATTTTGTGGTGTGATTATGAGTGATGTTGAGGTTGATGCTGGTCGGTCTAAGGCAAGGTATTGTTTGGCCCCACTGATGTAGCTTATATCATTACTGCGAATTGTACAAAGGCAAACACTTCGGCCACAACTTTCTTCATAACCTGATACGATTTGAACAAGCAGTAAATAAACTGAAAAATGCTCTCCAGCTTAGTGAAGGCGAAGGACGTTAAAACTCGAATAGATAGATGTTGATACCATGACTTCACATCAACACATGCCAGTTCATCAGTAAAGCTCTTAGGTTCATTTCTATTGACCCAATCACAAAGCCCAGCATAATCATCCTATGTACGTAATATCCCCTCTACTTTTACAATTGCTTCGTCTTCTGCTGCTGGCTCTGTTTAGGTTCGGTCAAAGTAAGTCCACTGACCAGGGGCGGGCTTCTCCTCGAGATCCTCCCAGCTATAAACTATTAGCAAAGCTTCCAGACTGTTAATATCAACTGTCGCAACTTACACCTTGGTCTTCTCCATGGTCTCAACTAGCTTAAGCTCGCCCTCGGCGACTTGAATAACTTCCTCAATAAGGCCAGCTCCGATCTTCTGCTCGAGCTCGTGAACTCTGTTGTGCGAATTAGCCTGCCTGTCCTAGTTGTAAATGTCCAGAAATAACGTACTGGTCGGCAGTCATCTGAGGCTCATCCTCCCACTCAATCTTCTCGTGATCCTCAAGAGGCTTGCGCTCCGCCCAGGTAACCTGGTCCTCTCGCTCCTTTTGTGTTCGAATTCCCTCGTATTCAGGACCCTCATCCTCCTCACCATTCCACTCCTCGACTCGGATATCGCCCGCCTCGTGCTTTCGGCCCACCACAAAGATCTTGTCGCCCAGCTTAACAGTATGAGCCTCGCTGCCGTCAACGCGGCCGCTGGCCACTCGGAACTGAGAGGAGTTCTTGCTGACGAGCTCCTTGGCGCGCACCGCCCACTCATTGTAGCCTGGAGGAATCATCTGCTCGACGAGGGACATGCGTTGCTTGGTGACAGCCTCGACGGATTGGCGGTACATGGAGGTCTCGGGGATGCTCTGGAGCTTGCTGAGGGTTGTGCCGTACAGATAGAGGAGGGTCGATCGGGGCGTAGCATGAGTCCAGAGACCAGTGAGACCGGTGGGAGTACCGGCCTCTAGGTAGCGCGCAAACACACGAGCTGTTGGCCTCATCCTGGCGAGGTCAATTGCAATTGCTTCGTCGTTACTTGGTTGACGGAATGGTCAGAGGAAATTGAATTGACCTCATTGGACTCTAGTCCCCAGCATTGCCGATCCGGAATGCACGTGCGTGTTCACGTGACTGCTCCAACATCGTCATAACGAGTCCATGCCGGATCATAATAGTTAATGTATTAACAACGGCTAGGGAAAGCTCAAGATTCTGCATTGACGATATGACGCAGTGTAGCATGTCAGCTATTGATCGGGATTATGCAGGTCTAATATCGTTGAATCCATTCACACCACATCACTAGGCCACTACATCTACGAGCTAGCAATTGACTCATAAAGTCTACCGCGGTATAAAGAAAAAAGAAACCCTCAATCTTGAGTTGGTTCATATCTCAATACCTGAATCAAGACAATATCTTATACCTTCCAGACATATAACATGGATCTTGACGGAAGAAAACTGAAAAAAGAAACAAACAACGCACGTTGCGTTCGCTCTCATAATGGACGTAAAGTCCGACTCGGCGTTTGCATACCGCGTGTTTGAGCGACACATAGTAAAAGCACACATCCCTCCATCACTAACTTAGGAAGACTCCTCGCGGCTCTTTCGGTAAGCGGCCTATAGCACAACATGTCAGCCCCTTTCTATGTGTCTTTCCTTAAAAACCAGAGGCACGACGCACTTCTTGCTCAGACTGGAGGCCCTCGATAACGGGGGCGAGCTCGGTGAGAATTTCGTATGCCTTCTTGTGGTACTCAATCTGAGCGGAGACAAGTTCGGCAAGGTTGCGCAGGGGCTCAGGTGTGTCGAGAACCTGATTTGGTCAGTACGATCACGCTTGACACTTTGCAGTTTTGGACGTGAACTCACATTCTTCATGACTCCAACGGCCTCCTCGGTCTGAGTGACAAACTCGTCCTCAGCCTTCTCAATCTCCTCCTGGGCCTCAGGGCTCAACTCTTGCTCCTCATGGGGCTGGTCGCCATGTGCATGGCCACCCAACTTGAAAGTGGTACCCTTGGCGTGAGCCTTAACTGCATCCAGGGAGAGGCGAGAGTTCTCAACGTTCTTGCGAGCGCGGGTAGCGAAAGTCAAATTGGTGTTGAGGGTAGTGTTCCAACCGGCGAGGAAACGGCTCTGGATCTGGGCATCCTGGGCAAGACGAGCTTCACCAACACGCTCGCTGGCAAGCGCATACTTCTCCAGGGCGGTTGCGAGGGGGTCCTCTCCGGCACCGGTGTGGTGCTGGTGGAGAAGCTGGCTGCTTGCCAGACTGGCGCGAGCGACAGCATGGCTGAATGTCTTAGGCTGAGGCTTGGCGGCGGGAGGAGCGACGAGGGCAGCCTGAGCTTCGGCGGGAGAGGTAGCAGACGAGAGGAGGCTGACCTTTTCGCTGACGGTGCGGCCAAGGTCCTGGAAAGTCTCCTTGATGTTAGGGGGGTAGTCGTAGGCCTCGTTGGAATACTGAGAGCTATAAAAAACATGTTAGATCATCGACACCCCTAGCATGTGATGGCGCAGACAGATATCCAGTGGACTTACGTCACAGCAAGCATCTTCTGGTGGGCTTGCTTGAGGGCATCGACGCGCTTCTCGAGGTCGATGTAGTCAGGAGGGAGTTGGGTCTGTAGGCCACATGTAAGAATGCCAGCTGCGCGATAGAGTGCAAAACGGCTCAACCCACCTTGTCCTCGGTTTGACCGAACTGCTCCTTGGTGTACTGGAAGGTGCGCGACGCAAAGGGGGTGATAGAGGCCCCAAGGTTGCTATTTGAACATGGTGAGCCTGAGGTCTAATCACAGCCAGAACTTCGAGGAACAAGATTTCGCAACGGTGGTATCTTGTGAACTCCAGGGAGCACATACGACAGGTTCTTGCCAAGGTTGGTTCCAAAGTTTCCGAAATCCATTGTGTCGGTTTGTTCGGGATAATTGAGTATTCGATCGGTTGTTTGATACGAGGTCGATTGGAGATTTGGAGAAGTGGAAAGGGGATGTTATGTTGCGTCAGCGTGGATTGAGGCAGAAGTAGGTAAGGTAAAAGTAAAGGTAGGTAGGTATGGTTAGAGATATGGAAACGCTGTCACAAGAGAAATCCCCACAACAGCAGCCCAGGTACTGTAGCTGACTGGAGCCTTGAGTTTTTCCCTTTTCCAGGGGCTCGAGGGGCTTACAGGCAGGCTCACCACAGGCTGGATCCCCCTCCTTACAATTGAGTCCGGGCATCCATTTAAAACGGGCCCGCCACCAGCACCTTGTCTACCTAGGCGAGTGCAGATCTCGCAAGGTGGCCCTAGCTCTTCTATTACAGCAAGGTACCGATACAAAACTCCCTAATAATCAGCCACAACTTAAGGGTACCTAGCTCAGATCAGCCGCTACCACAAGAACGATAGTTCTCTGCCTACAAAGATAAGCCGCTTTGATGACGAGTCCTCTTGACGAGTCCCTTCTACGGAGTACCTACCTTAATGTTGCACAACAAATCCGAAGCAGAGCCATAGAATTAAGAGGGTATCTATCGATCAATTGATAATTCTACTGGGATACTATGGATCCGATGTTTTGTAGACTCCACAAACATTGCTCGTTCAAAACACATTGTTCCGCCTCTTCCTCTTCGAGTCATATGAAAGCTCTATACTCCCATCGATCAATCCAGGATGTGTTTATTGTCAGCCCAAGAAGGTTCGACTCCCCTGCATACCGACTCATGATCCCGCAAAATAGGACTTTGGTTGTCCAAATTGGGTGTTGTCCAGAACATAGTCCAGTTGCACCCGGACAACTTACTGGTGCCCAAAGATCGCTCAAAATACCACTTGTTCACCGGATTATCCTTCCTACTTCTCCATGATACGCCATCAGGAAGACAGCCTCGCACCATGGCGTTGAAAACAATATCGGCGCAGCCACCACTGCCCTGGCTCTTCCTCAGGACGGCGAATTTGTCTAGATATGGAACGTAACGGCCTTGCTCGTACGCAGTCTGGTCGTCCAATCCTTCGGGTTTCTCCCATGTCAGAATGGCCCCTCCTTCGTATTCTCCAGCGATGATCACGCCGGCCAGGTTTTCGTTGACTCTATTGAGATAGTCATCGACATCCAGCTTCCTACCAAATGAGTCCTCGATGAGATGGACCAGTCGAGGGAGGTCGATGCACTTATCGGTCAAGCGAAGTCTGGGACTTCCAGGCTTGGGCGGAACCCATGGATTCTCTCGAGGGTGGGGAAATACTCGAAGAGGCATACCCTTTTTAAGTAGAGTCGAGCCTCCAGATGCCCCCATGGTGGGTTCCCTACCAGAGTTAGTTGGTGCGCGCGCCATCGGTAGGGACGACGAGAAGACGGGCTTGTCTGTGAGAAGGTTATGCAGCAGTGGATTCTTCTTCCTCCGAGTTGTTACCATACCACCGATTCCAAAGAGTGAATCAGATCCGGTAGCTTCGTTGGGCCCAAAGGAGGTTGTCATAAGATTGGCCGCAGCATCAGGTGTAGTAATAAGGGCCGACGACGTATGTGGTAGCATCGCCAAAGCATCTTTAGCAAGAGCCAAGTTCGCAGCATGTGCAGTAATCGAGGCGCGGAGGTCCTTGTCGTCTGCTAGAGGGGATCCGTCAGGGCCCATGAGCTCTTTAAGAATCGGTTCATATTCTTGTTCCAAGTTAATGAACCGATGGGATGCACCAGGCCGACCCGTCATTGGTGTTGCACCAAGTGGATCCAGAAGAATGATTCTTTCCACAAGAGCAATAGGGTTTGGGAAGGCAGCGTCGGCCTCAGCAGATGTGTCAGTGGTATTGGACTGGAAGCCTGCAAAGTACCTAGTGAGAGCCAGCACGATTTGATTTGAGTCGACAGGCTGAGGCGGACGGGTCTCATCGCGGCTGACCACTGAAGGGATAACTGGCATCATGCGGTGGTGCAAAATGTGGTTGATAAAGGCAGGATCATCGAGTCGGATATCGGTCGTCTGTGATCTACCCTTCTGTCCGAGAGGTTCCGAGCACACAAACGCATGCTTTACCACACGAGCTCCATGGTCTCCGAAGCTGTCAATGGCTTCGCAAAGGCGGAAAGCCTGGTCTTGGAAAGTCATGCGAGATTCATCAATGCCACAATCAATGACTACGACGCTCAAGAGCCCGAGCTTACGCAATTGAGACAACGTATTCGCTACTCCCGCTAGAGTTTTGGCATCGATCTCTTGTGGAACACGAAGCTTCATGATAGCAACATGCGGAGGCTTCATGTCTTGGGGCTCCGTTTCCTGCTGCGGATCGCCTTGGACGAACAGAGGTGCATCGGTGAGAGACTTTGGGTTCTTGCCGGTGTACTTCTGAAGATAACCTTTGGCATCTCGCTTGGTTGCCGATACCTCCAAGACGGAGACAATGAAGTCCTAATAGTAATTAGATAAGTCGTGCAGTAAGTAGTATCTAAGTAACATACTCTGTCAATGGCTTTTTTCTTGGCAAGTGCTGTAGAAGCTGCCGACATACGACGAGTGGCACCTTTGCCGAGACATGGCGACGAGGTGTTATTGCCGGATTGTGAAGCAAAGCCGCGATATCGGGATCGAATCGAGTTCGCAATGCTGTGCGATGATCCTATAAGGCGTGGTTCCGTAGATGGTGCACAGTGGCCACATCGAGGTGCCTGCTTCAATATGCGAGGCCAGCTCATGATGCCCGGCAGTGACGACTTTGTGTCTGGTTCTTGGCAGGCGGGTATAGAATGAAAGAGCTTTGGAATGAGTCTGTGTCTTAAAACACCTCCCCCGAATGACCTGCGATTTAATATAATATGAGCGGCCGTAGGGGGAGAAGATTCAATGTTAACTGCAGAGCATTGCTGGGCAAGGGAACCCTAAATGGGGGAAAGATGCAAGAACGCAGCAGTGACAATGCTCTGCTTCTCGTGAGTCAAAATTCAACGAGATGAATGGAACCGGCACTTAACTTATCAGATGCCCGGGTAGTGGAGGTGCAACAACTTTTTTTGGTCGGCAGCATGTGGGCGATAAGCTGATAAGCCCCAGATTCCATGCCGATGTCGCTGAAGATGACGATGGATAACGTCGGTATTCGTGACGTCCAATGTGACAAGACTAAGGACTTATAACTATAAGCAAGGGATCTAGTAATAGTAGTAATAAGTAATAAAGCAGAGGTTGCTCCTTATTTTTCTTTCATTTCGCCATCATATAATTCTCTTCCTTATAGACCCGCCGTGAGTTACCTCTAAGGCCTTATCAAGTAGGTAAATGACCACTGCTACCACAGCTCACGAGGTAGACCAGGAAGCTTAACACAACCTGGCTTGGTTCTATTTACAGATGATTATAGTTTTGAGATCTCATAACTGAAGCATTTTTATTTCTTTGTATATAAGGCGGCCAATGCCAACATAGAAGATCTCAACCAAGACAAACTTACTAGTCCCGGCAGAAGAGGTCAGAGTAAAATGCTGTGTCGATACTATCTAGCTCATTAAACTCGGCAATTATTTACGATACTGAGTTAGCAACCAATTTATCGATAGTTAATAGCTATTTGTTCAATACTCAACGAATTTCGTCAATAACATTGTTGTCGAAGCAGAGAGCACTTGTACATATATTGCGATCTTACCCTAATGCATCCAGAGTGTCTGTTTCGACATGAAAGGAAAGCATGTTCTTGAGAAGAAATACTCCAACACTGCTGTCGGCAAATACACTTGCCAAATACATCAATAATGGTCTACAGCCTATGATAGTAGGTAATAGATGGCTTCCTGTCAAATGTAAGTGCGCCCCTACCTCGCGGCCTCATGCGGCAGAGGCTGATATTGAGCCTATCAAAACTCATGTTTCATTCGCAAAAGGAATGAACGGCGTTTTGATGCCGAGTTTCAGCTTTTCAACGTACTAAAGCCACAATATTGGACAGCCTGCCCTTAGCGCAAACTGATAGCATTTCAATAGTCTGAACCAGAGCCGATATATCCGGTTCAACTCAAGACCTATCCTACCTCTGGAACTTACAATCCTTTGACTACAAAATGCTATTTATTAGGTAGGTCTTGCTTTAGAAACTGGTAAGACTACGAGTTTTATCCCACCAGATATGCATGATTGAAAGCATATTGCTGGAATACTAGCTAACATAGCTAGATATATAGCTGTTAGTTGATAACCGGTATGTGAGGATAGCAAGGAAACGATGTGATGGTTGCATTTGCAAAGGCTGCAACGTCTACCACCACCGTCCGAGCTGAACAGCAAGTCAGAGGCCATTTTCAACGCCATCTTTTCCAGGGTCCAGGGCGAGACCCCAGCTCAGTCATGAGATAAGGCTAGACTGAGATGGAAGGAGGGAAATATATAAAGGAATGTCTATTCTCGTTCTGTTATGTTTGTTCTGTCTTATCGAGGTACGCAAATCTTCTCTTTCTGTAGCGGCACATCATGATCATTACTTCAATAACCACGGCTGAAGTCCGAGTGGTTCTTCGCGTATACTTCCTCGTTGTCCTTGCCCTAGCAGGCTTCTTTGTGCGTAGGGTTCTCCATGGACGCAACAAGCTTCGCATATTGGGCGGAGATAGCATCCTGGCCACGCGGGCACTCAACTCTCTCGATGGACTAGACCTCTTACTTGCATCACTGAAGCTCCGAGCTCTCCCCAGCGGTACATTTGGATTCTCCTTCTTACTCTTCTTGTTTGTCTTGGGGAAAGCTGCCGATCTTCTCACGTCCTACCTTGTTGTCAACCACTTGATTCAATCGCGCTGCTCGTTCGGCCAGGGCCTTGTCTTTGACGATGGTACAAAACTTGCCATGCCGCCATTCAACGGACGGCCGTTTCAAGTTGTGCAAAATGCACAGTTGTTGGCTGTCAATAATTCATGTCCTTACGGCATTTACAAGAAGCTAAATACTGACATCAGTTTCTGTCCCGAGAAGAGAGACATTCTCGGATCATGGAACTGCAACATCGTCAACGACCAGACACCGAAGAGTTACGCTGCCGGAACAAACTCCTCGGATATTGCTGAAGACATGATTCAAAAAGGACTGATATATGACAATGGATATGTTGAACAAACACAGTGGTCCTCCGGATTCGTCAATCATCTCGTTATCTGGAGCACATCTGCATCTCTCGACAGCGACGGGTCATTATGGTCTGTTAAAGCAGCCATCGAAACAACTTACAGGGCAGAGGATGATATACAGCTCACGCCACTAACTTGTTCCGTCTCAGCATCGGGTGCAGAGCAAACCGTCAAAGACATGGCATCTGGAACGACTCTGAAAGCGTGGGCCCCAACGTTCCAGGGTTTGATGTACAATGGTTTCAACACCACCGCCATTCAGGACGTTGAAGATGCACTGGCAATACTACTGAATACCATGGCGATGATATCTGGTGGAAACAACTACCTCCTCTCTGAGCCAGAAGCAGGTCAAGACAAGACTCAGGGTTGTCTTGTAAAAGCGGCGTACGTCCCGACAGTTATGGTGGTCATTTTTCTCGTTGTGGCAGGTCTTGGTATTACAACACTTGTTGCATGGTGCATAACCTCTATCCGTCTTTTCCGATCTCCATCTGAGTTGGAGGATCTTCCTCTGAGCGCTGAAGAGTGGGCAGTGTTTGCAGCGAGGGAGTACCTCAGTACTGCGAACAACAATCAAGGTGCTGTCGTGGCACCAGTGGAGACATCTGAGTTGAAGACGTTCAGCGTTGGCTTTTCTCAGCCTAATATTGGAAGAATAGGCATGTTCCAGAGAAGGAAAGGGGATCTGTTGAATCAATGAAAGTTCCTCGAAGGAATGGATTGACTATACCTTATTGAGTTTCCTTCTTCACGTTTTCATGACACCAACGGATGCTGGATACCTATATACCCCATATTAGCTTACACCTCCACCGACCAAACTCCACATCATTATTCCCGCAGACTTGTTGGTTCTCATACTTCAAGTAATTTATAAGCAGAAAAAAACTATTTATTTCTGACTTCTTCTGTTACGTTGTTGTCTGTCTGAACATTCTCAACGGACCAATTGGCAACTCTGACGTCTTTGATCAATCACCACGACCTAGATCAACACAATGGCTCCCACACTACTATGGATCGGACTCGGAAATATGGGGAGGGTAAGGCTCATCTTACTGTTTTATAAGACGAATAGATGATAACTCAATGGCGATAGGGAATGAGCAAGAATATCGTTGAGAAAGGCAACTTGGACGGTCCCCTTCTCTTGTACAACCGTTCAACTCAGAGGACTACTGACTTCAGTGCCAAGTTTCCGGCCGGCAAGACTGAAGTTGTTGAGTCTCTCGCCGACGGTGTCTCGAGAGCCGATGTCATCTTCTCCTGCATTGCCAATGATGAAGCCGTCCAGGAAACCTTCAAGGCGATGCTTGAGGGAGACGTCAAGGGTAAGCTATTCATCGAGAGTTCAACCATCCACCCAGACACCACCGAAGCTATTGCAAAGGACGTTGTATCCAAAGGAGCCGAGTTCGTTGCTGCTCCCGTATTCGGTGCTCCTCAAATGGCCGAGGCTGGTCAGCTCGTTGGTGTCCTTGCTGGACCTGCTGCCAGCGTTGCGAGGGCAAAGCCGTGGTTCAAGGGCGTAACTTCCAGCAAGGAGATTGATCTCTCGGATAAGCCTTACAGTAAAGCTTTGACTCTTAAGGTCCTCGGAAACACCTTCATCCTGAACATGGCCGAGCAGCTCGCTGAGGCACACGTTGTCGCCGAAAAGACAGGTCTGGGCACTGAAGCTATTCACCAGATTGTCGATTCAATCTTTGGTGGGCCTTATACCGCCTACAGCCAACGTATGCTCACGGGCGACTACTATAACCGTGATGAACCTCTTTTTGCAGTTGAGCTCGCGAGAAAGGATGCTCGACATGCTATGAGCTTGGCTGAATCTGTTGGTGTGAGGCTTCGGAATGTTGAGGCTGCTGATGCACATCTGGCAATGGCTTATGAGCATGTTGGCTCATCAGCAGATATGGCTGGAATCTACGGAGCTATTCGAAAGGAATCTGGTCTCAAGTATGAGAATGATGCTTAGTGCATTGCGTCAACAAGAGTGTAGGTAGGGACAGAGAAATGTAATATGAAGAGCTGAGATAGATATTTACTCAACAGATTACTTCTACATAAACACTCTCAAAAACTCACCTGAACTATGCTTTATAAGTAACTACCTATATATAAAGAACTAATTAAATTGCTTGAGCATATTAAGACAATTGTTCTTATTCCAACTGGATAGTGGTACCAAATTTCTTGGAGGTGTAGGGTAGCTTACTTGGCATTCCCGCTGACTCAGCCTAGACCTTGCTATTCAGTGATGCAACCAATCCAGCTACAAGCTCTCAATCATCGAATACACCAACCGTCAAACAAGCTCCTGTATCCCGACCTCGACTCAACCCCATTAATCGCACGCTTTCTCCGATCGATATTCTCCTGCCGGCAGGACCAGACTCGAAGCACAACCTCAATCATGGCTCAAGGGTACGCAGCGACGCATTCCCTCCCCTGTAAACGACGCGTGTAAGGTCTGACCAAAGCGTAGATACGCCGTCTTCATCGGCCTCGTTGTCATCGCCGCCTTGTGTGTGGCATCGTGGTTCCTTGCCCCCAAGGGCGAAAACCAAGTGTCGGTCTACCCATCCTGTTGATGCGACCTATCGCATTCCCCTTGCGACAACATAGCTGACCCTTTCTCCTTACAGACTCTGGCGATCCTCTGCTATCCTGGCCATCGTGAGCTGCTACCTTATGTGGGCGATTACGTTCCTTGCTCAACTTCACCCTCTTATTGCGCCAAGAAAAAGCGGTATCCGAGAAGAGCACCTCCACTAGACATCTATCTATAAAACACGCCAAGGACGAGCTGGAAAGATGACGAGGACTGTTGCGAGGATACGGTTGTAATTTTACATTGTTGGACTTTTGACACTTGAACTGGTATTGTTTTTTATTACATATGGAGTTGGAACGTCTGTTATACCAAGCCAAAGACGCACTTTGCAGACCATCATTTTGTCTCGGACAGTTCCCGTGTGATTACTTGGCTTCAGTGGTAACGTCTACCCGACAGCAAGACGACCTGCCCATTCCCTCGCATACATCAACAACGCCCATAGAGCTTTGCCATCCGCTGCCACGCCACTTTCACCTATCGAGTCAACGTCGGCAAGACCAGCAGCGAGCAGGACAGCGCGGCCGACTACCCAGCGTGAAGCTGCCCCTGCGATAGCGAGTAGACATGCTATGACATAGTTGCAATCAAGAAGAATGCGTAGTGCCTCGACATTGTTGGCCACGACGGCCCAGCCAAGTGACCGAGCTGAGGCGGGGACGTCATAATCCCAGATCACCATCAGGATGGGGAATAGTTTTGTGGACGATGATACCAGGAGAGCTGTAGATACTGAATTGGGCCTCGTGTATTGAGGAAGAATGCCCAGAAGGTTGAGGGGAGAGAAGGCGGAGGATGTGAGGAAGCGTATGCTCACATGGAAAGCTGCTGTTGAGAGGGCGCAAAAGATGACTTTGGCAAGGGTTAGTTTATAGATCAGAGTTATCTTGAGAGTCATCTTACGGAAGAAGAGATATTGAAAGACAATCGGCTGTTGTGAAAGTTTACCCAAGTTGCTTGCTCCTGGGATGGCATCAGGCACCGTCTGCTTCTCCAATCGTGCCCATGTCAAGTACACATCAAAGAGAAGAAGGAGAGTGCCTAAACGGACAACGGAAGGCTGAGAAGTCATCAGTAAGGTGCATATGCCGTAATATTTATTCATCACTTACATCTAAGCGATCATCATCTCGCATCAAGGTATTGTATAATAAATGTCGATAAACCTGCACCTGTTAGTACATGAGATCAAATCAAAATATGCAATCAAGGCTCACCTGAGGTTTTATCAGGACTAAATCGATAAAAAGCACAACAAAGTCATGCTCGACATACTTGTCGCAGAAACGGCCACAGTTGCGACACACAGTGAGTCGGATATTGTGTCCGCTGGCCTTATCCCCTGCACCAGAATATGCAGTCCAGAGCGTCTTGACAGGATGCCTGCATTCGATGCAGATTGGCATATTGCCGCGTTACTTGATTCCTTAGAAGGATTGACGGTTAATCAGTGATTTGATCGGGTGTAGTTTGGCTAACACCATATCATGGCCGGTTATGAATAGTGAGTCGTGGTGTTGAAAGTACTCTCCGTACCAGCCACGAAATTGACAGATACTCGGGAATGACGTGGGGATAGAGACCCTAGGACAAATGCCACCCCCTGAATTAACATTGTATCAAGATATATACTACCTACCTATCTACCAACCAAGTATCCGTAGTCACTGATGATTTGAGTCACTTATCAATAACTGATATTTTAATTCTGAATTGTGCACTTGTTATTGTTATGGATTGATGACAAGTTCAGATCAACCCAGGTATGTCTAGATGTATGTGATATGTGCAGGTCCTAAAACTCATGATAGGTTTTAGAAACACCTCAAGTTCTTCAAATTTTGTTATAACGTATGCAGTACCAAGTATCCTGAAGAATTGCGAATGCCTCCCAACGCCTCGCAGCTTAAGACTAGCTCCAACATGCAATCCTCCAACAAACAACGCCTGCTTATCTTACTCTCTTGTCCCGGCCCAAGCATTTCTACATGATCCCCCAGCAATGAATCCATCGAATTCAAGCTCTGTGACCTCTTAATCGTCTTTATCGCCCTTTGCCAACATTCGTCCTCGAACACCCCCCTCGCCTTCGCTTCGGCTACTGCTCTTAATCTGTAGCGACTCCCTAAGGCTAGTCGCTGGTGCTCCTGAAGGTCGTCCATCATCACTGCCGGTATCTGTTAATTCTATTAGATCGCCGTTTCGTTCGGGTCTGCTGCCTTCAGCCATTCCTCGTATCCTATCCAGTTGCGAGCTTGGCTTGCGTGACAAGGCACCCCTAAGCCAGGTCTCTACAGCCGCAGCCGCTTTGTCCAGTCCATTGCCCTGCTGTGTTGAACCGATTTCTTGGCCCTCCCCTGATGGGTTCTCAACTATGCTCGATGATTCTCCTGATTTGAATCCAAAATGCGCCGTTTCTGAGCCCATAATAGACATGGAGGGGATACCCTCCAAGGTGAGTCCAGGTAAATGCTTTTTGGTCCATGTAGTAAGGTAGTCCTTATCCGGACCAGGAGCCCGTGTACTCATACCCATGGAACCAACACCACCAGGCCGACGCATCCAGACCGGCAAGGTTTCACCGCCTTCGCTGATCGCCCCTCGTCCTGGACTTGACATAACGGTGCCAGAAAGCTGGGGTCGATGACCAAGGGAGCTCTGGCGACGAGACGAAGTGCCTGCAGATCCCGGAGGGTTACTGTATAGATCAAGGCTCTGCCGGGGCGTCGAAAATGTCGAGACAGTCCTAATGCTCTTCTTTCGTCGAGGCGGGAAGTAACCCATGGCATTCCTCGCAACCCGTGCAACCTCGACTGGTTGAGGAATTGAGTCGATCTTCACCCAACGTACATGTGTCCACGGTTTCTCTTCTTCTTCGGAAGGTTGTGTCGCTGACGGCGTTCCATTAACCGGTCGGCTGAAGAAGTCATCATGAACAGCCGATGAGTTCTCTTCCGCGGCAGGTGTTGGCGCAAGTAAGTCGACGCTATGGGCGTTGTGCCACGAGGGTGGATCGCATGGCCGTCCCCTCACATCGCAGGCATCAACGGGAATTGTCAGCCATTTTCGCACCTGTATGCTATCTCGTGTCCAGAGTCCATTGGCCTTCCTGAAAGCATCCTCGCGACACTGGTATTTCAAGATTAAGCCTGCATATGTATCACTGGGTTCAACCTTGTGAATGTAGACCAGGTATTCTTGAGCCTGAGGTTGTTCGGGAGTTGATTCATCAGAATTGCGGCGTTTATGATTCCCACTGACATCCAGTCCACCATTGACACCATCATGGCTCTCCAGCACCATGGCCCTTCTCGCAGCCTTCAGGGCGGCTTCACGCTCTGCCCGAGAGCCTGCACCCACATCGTTCAGGTTGGGTTCCTGGGGAGGAGCTGGGCCCCAAGTACCACCTGTTTTCTTCATACTGCTACTGCCAGAGAAGTCCCTGCCCCAGGTCCCAGGTCGAGAGCCCGCTCGATTGTGGGACTGAGACCTCCTAGCTGCGCCATTGTCACCTGATAGGAGAGAGGAGGTGAAGCCCTGGATCGAAGCCCAGCTTTGTGTTAGCGAATCGTTGAAGAAGTTGCTCAGATTCGCTGCGCTGTTGGTGCGGTGAGGGGCACCACCTCGTTCTGAGGGCCGAGGACTCGCGGAGCGGCTGTTGGCAGGGCTGAAAGCTGTCAAAAGGCCGTAGCTCCGCGCAGGAGATGGAGAAGCAGCGTTGTCGTGGACATTGAGGTTGCGGCCGCGGCGGGAGCGGCTGGCTTCGCGGGAGGTCGCTGTGTCACTATCGTCGTCGAGGGTGCTAGCAAGACGCCGGTTTCGTGGACGAATAGAGGTAGAATCCGAGGTGTTGGCGGGTGCCAGGGCTGATGACGACCGATGCGGCGAGGGCCGCGCAGAGCGTCTCGGTTCGGTCATGATAGTCGCCAGCTCGGCGACGATAGATGCTCTCGGTTTGTGCTGTGCAGGTGCAGCTTTGCATCAGTGCGCGGCACTTATGGCACAGCTACCAGAGTCGTATTCGCAGTCATTCAGTCGAAAGAGGGCGATGTATCAAGGAGATGCTAATGGTCGAGGAGGCGAGATAACGAGGCGGAGATGGATAACTATGGTAAATGGAGGGTCCTCCCAGGGATCCCCGATTGCTAGCGGAGGCGATGAGTAAGATCGACCTCAGCCAATTCCCTTGGTGTTTAAATAATGAACGTGTTCATGCGCTGCTTTTTTGTGATCGTCATGGAGAATGTATCTCAGTGATCGTGGTATGAATTATGTTTCGTCGTGGGATATGATTGAGGTGGTCGTTCTAACTCAGGACAAGGTTGCTGGCTTCTGACCCACCAAAGCCTACCTACAGGTGTAGCTAATGCCAGATAGGGAGTACCTTTAAGTAATGGGGCCAAGGTGGCACTCAATTATAGCCCGAGTACCAGACCAGACCAGACCTTCACAGGCTTTGCACGGCTTGGACCGAAGTGATGCAAGCGGCATTGACTCGATCAATTCCAGTTCCAGTTCCAGTTCATCATTCCAACCATTCCAATACAAGCTTTTTCACTGTAACTGATTTTCATCTTGGGGGGCTTGTTGGCCAAGATATATTGTGCCCCAATCAAATAATCTTAGCATGACCACGCATAACGAAGGAACCGTTCCAATTAACGAGTAATGTACTCGCTTTAGCTGGGCAGTTGGGGCATCGATCGCATTGTCGATTTTGGGGGCCGCGTGGAAGATGAATTGCCCAACCCACGTCCACCTTTTTACGCTCAAGATTGGCTGTTGTATCTTGCCTAGCGTCACGGATCACAATAAACCCCACTTACCAAGGTGACTTTGGCCCCTGAGAACTGTCCCAAGTCCCTGAAAACCCTTCCAGAAGATATCCAAAGCTGAGACCGGGACCCTCCAGAAATGACCACATCATCATTGACCATACCATGAGTATCGGAGGAGAAGCTTATGTTTCTTTCTTCGCGACGATTTGCGCAAGTAATAAACTACATGGGTCTGAATAGTCCTTCTTAATACAAATTGCTGAAGGTAGCACCTTTGACAACAATATTCTTTCATCATTGCTGTTTCTGTCTTCTTTCTCACAGTATTATAATAACCGGGTAAACCACACCATTTATCCAGTTAATGTCGTGATACCCCTTTCCAACAGAATCTTGCCTGGTGAAAAATGGTTTTGTATTTTCGTAAACATGCCTGGTTTATATGGCCTCCTATTTCTACTAATAATCTTCTGTGCACCAGATAGTAATTATGGTGCCTGACATCTCCTCCTATTGTCTTCAACGAACAGGCTTCAATTATTCGTCATGCTTTGTCTCAGCGGCGCCATGACAAAACCCGTTTCCTGGTTCCGCATTGCAAACTTCCTTCTTTGAAGGGATTACCAGAGACCGTGTTTAAGACATGCCCTGTCGTTCAGCCACCTAGACATACCGCGAAGTGCGAGGAATGGTCATCATGTGGTCATCGGCCCAGCTCTTCACGGGGACATGAGTTTGTTCACTATTCATTTTCGTCCAGAGCGATATCCGAAATTGGTGAGGGCTACCTCAAGTCGGTCTGTTCCCTTATCTATCTTTCAACCGAGGGGCATGTCAAGGTTAATGTGATTAGGGTCGGCCCCGTTAATGCCAAAAAATTGGAACCTGAGACATCGTTAGCCATTGTGGTATAAACGCAGAACCTCATGATACTTACCAATCTTCAACATTTAGTGTTGTCGGCACCGCTTGACCTGGCCCCGAAGCAGTGCTCCAACTGTCTGGGCTCTGTCCTTCCGGCAAGTTTGGATCCATGTTTGGCTGCCACATATTCGTATGTCCCTGAAACCCTTGAGGCATCATCCCATTCCCTCGTTGTTGATATTGCCCTGCCTGTGGGTTATGCATCCCGCCTTGTCCATTATTTGGCGGTACTGCGCCCATAGCATTGTGATCAAGATTGGAGTGTGTTTGTGTTGGTGACAGGTTAGGGAAAGCTGGCATGGCAGCACTATCCGGGAATAACTGGTCAGGTTGAAAGTTTTCCCATAGGGACTGTGATAAGTTTGGGGAATTCCTCGTAACAAGATAGAGGTCTGGAGGCGTTGGTGGTACGGAGAATGATGGGTTGAAAGGTGTTGCTGGCCGAGTTTGCGGGCGCGAGTTCGTTCCTCCCATGAACGTATCTGCTGCACTCTGTCGCGCGTTTGGTGATGTGACTGGTGGTGGCTGCATCGAGCTTCCTGATTCAACCTTGACAGCACTCGGAGTCTGAGGGCGCGACCTCTCATACGACTCTTGAGGCTGAGGAGTAGTGGTACCGAAGTCGATGGCCATGTCGTCGTACTTCCGTTTCGGTGCCTCGGCCTGTCGATTCTGTTGCTGTTCTAGATGCGAGAGACTTTGGC